CTTGCACTTGCCAGGGAAGCGCTCATTCCACGGAGCCATCTCCCCGGCCCCTGGTGTCATTCTTATGGAGGTCGTTTTGTCTCTAACTCCAAAACTATATAAATATTCATCAATATTTTGTTTTTGTCCTTTTCTTTTTAAACAGTTAAATCGGATTGGGATTTATTTTCTAAACTGCCTACCACTGTTGCTCAGAATATCTGTCCTTTCCCTACCAATGTGAATCCCACTTTTACTGTATACCGTCGATCTGCAGGCAGCCTGGAGATGCATGTGCTTCCCCACGTCTCTGAGCTTTGCATGAGCCACCAGCCACCTACATGGTCTAGCAATGGGATTGCCCTATTTGGTAACACGAAGGCTAGACTGAGCATCCCATTAAACCTTTGGAGAAATTTGCAATTACATTTGCATATTATTATATTCAAAAGAAACTTGAGATCCTTTTGTAATATTTAAAAGAATTGGAGATTAGATTATATAAAAATACACTATTATCCTTATAATATGTTCACTTTCAGTTCAGTGAATTTATAATGTTCAGTTTTATGTCCTTTGGTCTATTTTTTCTAATAAGGGTAATTTTTGTAGTTGTGACTGCTACTGCAAATGAGATCTTGTGTCCATTGTATTTTTCAGTGGCTTATTGTTAGTCTATAGGTATCTTTTTAAATAAAATTAAATTGGTTTTCTTCCTTGACATTAAAGTTATATAAATTTAAATACAAGAATACATAATGTAGAAAATCAAAGATCTATAGAATTAAAAATCCCTCTGCCATAAAAGAATAATTATAAATAGTCCTCAGTTTTTCCCCAAAAACATACTTTATCACTTTGTAAGTGTAACACAGCCCTCCTACCTTCCTGTTCCCTTGGCAATAGATCTTGGGCCTCTTCCCATGTCAGTGAGCATCAATCTACCTCATTTTATCTCTGCATTAAGAAAGTGGTGTATGGTTAGTTTATTTAACTTGGCAATTGGTTATTTTGATGCTAACCAGTTACCAAGAACCAGTTAGTTTTTTTTAAAAAAATTAAATTTATGTATTTGGTACAGGATCTTACTACACAGCTCAGATTTGTAGTGTTCCTCCTGTTTTCAGTCTCCCCAGCATGGGATTACAGGCATGTGCCACCACTCCTGGTCTCGGTTGCCTGGCTCAGTGTGCCCAGGGGCGGAGCTGGCAGGGCATGGGGTACCAGGGATAGAACCCTGGTCACTGCACCTGCCTAAGCAGGCAGTTAGTCCACTGAGCTATCTTGCTGCTCTTAGTCCTTTTCATTCTGATAGTTTTGTTGTTAATTCCTTTGGCCTTTTTCAAGTAGGTAGTAGTTCTGGGGAGTGGTGACAGTTTTATCTTTGTATTTTTAATAATCCTATTTTACCTTGTCTTATCACACTGACCAGCATTTTTAGGACAATCCTACATAAGCATATATAATTGTGCTGGCATTGTATATTCTTTATATGTGTATTTTTCCCTTAGCAAGAATACCTCTGATTCCCGAAAAATATAAAATTGACTTTTAATATAAGATATTCTTGATTTTTTAATTTATATATTAAATTACGCCCTTCTATTTCTAATCTCCTAAAAATTTTCTCAGTACTAGATGTTGGAATTTTAGTAAATGACCTTTTTTTGATCTGTCAGACAATCTAATAATTCTCTATTACAACTTAAGATGAAACATTTTAATAGATTTGCTAATATTAAGCCCAGTTTACATTTCTATAAAAATCTGATGTAGTCAGATTATGTGTTTTTAAAATATACACCTCCTTTCTATGTTAACAGTGGTTATTTATGATTGGTTGGTCAATGGTGGATAGTTATTTTGTGTTTCTTATCTGTGTTTTCTTATTTTTCTACAAAGATTGGGTATTGCTTCTATAATAAAAATAAGAGTTTTACAATGAAAAACTATTCTGGATTTGGTTTGCTCATTTTATTTTGGAAATTTCATATCTTAATAAATGAATAGTTGTGATTTTTGTCAAATATTTTTGTTAACTTCTTAAAAAAAAATAAAGGGACTTGGGAAGGTCTCTTTTTCTATTCCCTGAAATGATTTAAATATTTAAAAAACTTTCGCTCTTTAAAGTTTTTATATCATGCATAAAACTGTCTTAAATGTAGTGCCTTGTTAGAAAATAATTCTTTGATCGTTTTTCCAATTTTCTCTGTGCTCGTTGGTCTTTCTTTCATTGGTCAAACTTCCTTCTTGTTCTCTTTAAGTTTTTTGGTAGTTAAAATTTCCTAAATAATCTATTAAGATTTCTCAGATGTATTGGCATTAAATTATGTTGTTTTTTCATACTGATAATGTTGTATGTCTGTGCTTTCTCTTTATTTTCTATTTTGTTTTTCCAGAAAGTTTATTAGTTTCTGCAAAGAACCGGCTCTGGGACTTATACCCTAATACTGTTTCACTATTTTATTATTTTTTAATTGGGTTTTGGTCTTTTCAATTTTTTCCATTACTATCTTTTTACCTTCTCAAGTTGAATGCCAGTTTAACTTTTTCTTGTTTAATAAAACAGTTACTAACATTATAAGGCTGAATAATAGTCCATAGCCCTTAAATTTTTGCTCATGGTGGTGGTGGTATTATAAGCAATTTGCAATTTCAGATTTGACTTATTTTTTACAAAGGTTATTTGAAATTATACTTTCAGATTACAAAATAGTGTGACATTTGTTTTTAACATCTATTACAAACTTCTGGCTTATTGCCCTGTCAAAGAGGGTATGGATGGAACAATTGGTACATATTGGACTTATTGATATTTTCTTAGGACCTAATAAATTTTTAATTTTAAAAAGAATCCCCAGGAAAATGGAAAATGTATATTCTCTGAAGGGAACAAATTGAATCAATGTGTTTTACTTTGACCTCATTAAGTACAATACTATGAACCTTTAATTTTTACTTATTCGATTCGTTAGAGACTGAGAAAGGAGTGTTAGTTCCCACTGCAGTTGTACTTCTGTCTGTTTCTCTTGTGCATCTGAAGTTTTTTCTTTGTGTTTCTGTTTGATGTTATTTGGCAAATGATCTTTTTATACTTAAGGGAAAAGTTATTTCCTTTAAAGATTTGTATACTCTTTGATTTTGTTGTAAGAGTGGTGTTTATGTAGAAATACATAGTTCAGTAAAATGTTTGTGTCTATTTTTAAACAGAAAAACCTTTCCGAAACCCTTTGTGCTTACTTACCAAGGTATTTTGGAAGTTCTTGATCGTTCCAGGTAGGCTGACTTCACCTGCGGCTACTTCCTGAGCCGAAGCAACAGAGCATTCAGGTTGAGGTATAGTAGCTGTGGGGACAAAGGGATGGTGAAGGGATGCTCGCCCTGCACCTGGTCAAATTCTGCCACCATGGGGCACATAGCAACTTTTCTCATCCCGAAAGCTACTCCTTTCTCTGCAGAGGATCAGCTCTGGAGTGGAGTATGTGCTCCTGTACCTAGCTGCCAGAGAAAAAGCTAATCTCAGAGGCTTTTGTACTAAAAGAGTTTTTTCCTGAGCTGTTTCAACAAGCTAGTCACGTGGCAGATCTGTGCCAGATACAAAACCACCTTTCTCCAAACATGTTGGCAGTGCTGGCCCCAACCCTCGGCTCAGGAATGGGATACTACCTTCTCTATTCTTCCTTCATTTAAGTTAATTTCTGTTTTAAGCCCCTGTTCCACCAAGCTCATGTAGTTTTACCTCAGTCCTGGCATCCATTTTTCTCCCAAGGTGGTCCTTTGAAGGTCTGGGGCTCCCGCGTTCCCACAGTAGTGGAGGATGGGCCCCTACCTGCTGTGATGCTCTCTGTTCCCAGCATTCCCTGCGTGCCTGTCTTTACCACCTCTGCACCACATACTCATGCTGGATGTGGGGATAACTCGCATGGGTCTGTGCTGCAGAAATCTCCCTGAAGCCATCCTTGCCCTAACTGCCCTGGCCCTCTCTGTAGCCATCAACTTACCAGATAAGCCAGAGTGTGTGCTCAGGACACCAGAGCGCTGAGTGGAGATGATTCTGCGGTCACCCCACTGCTGGATGGCTTTGCTGGGGCTCACTTCAGACTTGAGTTTTCCTTCCCACTTGTGTCTTTGTGGGACTACTTCTTTTCCATGCCCCCTTCCTTCAGCTCTGTTCACATTGGGGCCTCCAAGGCTCTGTCCTACGCCATCTTCCTTTGATCTTCTCTCCCTGGGAATCTTCAAGGCGATCTCAGTTATTGCCAGCAGCTGCCTGTGCCCAGACTATCCCCCTTCCTCCATTCATGCTGCCCAGTCTGCCCGCCCCTCGCCAGTCGCCACCTGTGCAAGTGCTGGCCCCTGGCTTCCTGCAGTCGAACAGCATGCTTTGTGCTTTCCCCTCCTGTCTCTTCACCACTGCTGCGATCACCACCCCACCCTTGCCCTCTTCCCAACCCCACCTTCCTGGTTGTTCTCTCTGATCCATGGGGCAGTTGGCTTCTAGCCTCAACTTAGTGCTCCCACTCCACCATGGGGTCACCCTGGACTTCTCCCTGTCCTGCCAAGGCCTGGCTTGGCATTGTCTGTGTTCCTGCTCTTTCTTTTCCCACTGCATAGAGTTCTTTCTCTGCTATGCCCTTGCTGCCACCGCCACGGCCACCGCCACCACCATCTCAGGGTTAGGCCAGATGTCCTCATCAAGCTCAGCTACTCCAAACTCTTTCCATATTTAGCAGCTTTAAATCATTGGCTTCACACCTGTTTGAGGAGTACCTTTATGCCCCAGGACTCCTGGAAACACAGCTGAAAAGGCTTGGTTACTGCTCCGCACCTATTATAGCCCCTGCTGGCCTGCTGCAGGTGTTAGTGGGACCCACCAGATGGGGGGCTCGATGAGGCAGCTCACCTCCAGACGGCTGTCACCAGTGGCCAAGAACTATACCAGGCATTTCCATGGTTGGAGTTACCTTTCACCAGTTCTTCTTTAAATCCTGGGGACAGTACTCATGTGTCTAGGATGCTGCGGACCTGCTGCAATTAGGGCTGCCAGCCCATCTCAGGAACACCTCCTAGACTGGGGCCTTTACCACCTGGCAGTCTGCCTGCTAGCAAGTGCCTTCTACAAGACAGGAAACCACCCCCACCATGGCCCACATGCTAATCCCTGAAACCTCGGACTGTGTCAGCAGCAAAGGCCAAAGGGACCTTCATATGGGAGACAGTTGTGGACGTCAGGGCAGACCCCAGCTAATCACAGGCAATCGCAGCGGTAGAGAACCTTCCCAGTAGAGGCAGGAAGAGATGGGACAGGGGTCAGAGAACCAGGACACTGCTGCTCTGTAGACTGAACACAGAAGAAGGGCCAAAAGCTGTGGAACATGGGCAACTGCCAGGAGCCACAAAGGGGGCAAAGAAAAAGCTGCTGCCAGAGCCTTCAGAAAATGGCACAGACCTGCTGGCTTCTCAGTTCTGGCTCTATTAGACCCATGTCGGACTTGTGCAGAACTCTTAAGAATAAATTTGCGTTGTTTTAAGCCATTACATTTGCAGTAGCTTATTATGCCACTAGAAAATGGATGCACTAGACCCTGAGATTTAAGAACCTCCATTGTGTAAGTCCTGTGCCACTCCCCAAGGTATGATCCTAGCTTGTGCCACTGCTGCCAGATTCCCAACTCGAATCCTAGAGAGGGAAAGAGTTAAAGAAATGAATCCACAGACCTGACTGGCATAGCTCATTGTTTTTCTCTCCAGGACATTCTCATGTCGCTTACTGCCAGTTATGGATTGGCTCTCAGGACTTGCTGCCAACCCCCAGGTCAGTCAGCCACCCAATGGCTGTCCTTGTGGGAGGGCTATAGGCAAGAAGGGAGCATGTTGGTGTCCAGAACAAGGTGCAGTGGCCATGGGGAGCAGGAGCAGGGAAGACCTCAGAGAGGGGAATGCTGTAGGGCTAAGACTGAGACGGACAGTTCCAGGCACTTGGTGCTTTGGGGAACCGGGCTGCATGGGGTAGGCAGCCAGCAGTTTGGTGATGCAGGAGAGGAGCTGCTGCAGGGAGAAGGGCTGCCAAAGGACAGCAGCCAGGCCTCTGGGGGACCAATGTGCCCCACTTCAGGGTCTGCCCATAGCTCAGTTTGGCAAGGTAGGGAGCAGCTCAATTGGCAGCACTGTGGAGGGTGAATTAGAAGCTACCCACAAGGAGACATACTTGTTCCCTTTGTTGCTCTGATTTCCCTGAAGCCAGAGCTTGGATTTACTTTAGAACCTGGCTGAAAGACGGAGGGAAAGAAATGAGGGAGAGAATGTTCCAGAGGAGTTCTGAGGCCTTGAAGACACAGCTGGGCTGGGGACTTCAAGAGATCTCATTGGCAAAGGATCCTTTTTTGAAGCCCTCTCATCTTTGGCAGCCTCTCCAAGGCAAATTCTGAGAACCACAGCCCATTACACTCCATTGTGTCCCGTGATACTGAAAACCCAGTAAGTAATTAAAAACAATACAAAACTTCAAAGTAAGTGTAAGAAAATTTCCCCAAATTGTAATTGTGCCTTCTTGAAAATGCCCAGTTCTGGATGTTGCCTGTCCAAGCTGGGGAAGGAGGCCGGGACAGAGCCACCTGAATTCTCTGCCTGCCCGCCGCCCCACACATTGAAGCCCATCGGACAGCTGCTAGTGCATGTCCCTGGCACCCAGAGGACAGAGCATGGAGCAGGGATATAGGGCTGGGCCCAGCCTGGATGCCACATGTGCCCCAGCCAGTGTGAGAGGCACTGACACAGGAGCAGAACAGAGTTCTGGGGATGGAGGACTCAGGAAGGCCCACAGGCAGCTTGGTAGGAATTACGCTGGCGGACATGTGACAGTGATGCATTTTAAATAGTTAAAATAGTTCTTTATTATGCATTTATATAGTGCTTGAATTATCCGTTTCACTAAAATACTTAAAATAATTCCTGAATATAAACAGTTTACTCTGATTATTGCTAAAATAAACGTTCACATTCAGACCTTTAAAGTGGAGGAAGCTCTGTTGCTCACGCACAGGAGGGCACAGTCTGACAGTGCTGTCCACGGGACATGTAAACTCCCCAGCCCGGGGGGTGATTCTGTGACCAAGGTGAGAAGCGAGGGCTGCTGCCCGCGGCCAGCGACACTCACTGATTTCACTCAGAGCGGGCTTAGCATGAGGCAGTCACCACAGCTCTGCTTCCCGAGGGCTGTGACATCTCACCCAAAGCCTGGCTGGTCTTTTGGGGCACTGTGTGGCCATCTGCTTTGTCTCACATGGGGCAGACCCTAATGGTCCCACTGGCCAGGGCTCTGCTCGTCGCTGTCCTCCTCCGAGTCAGCAGACACTTGCTTGATTCTCTGCAGAGCCGCCTTGATGCTTCTCTCCAGGTCGCTGGCTGGCCGGGCGCTGGGGCCCGCGCCTAGGCCCTGGGGCACTTTCTTCAGCTTGACTCCCTGCCTGATGGCTGCCAGGATGTCCTCATTGACGGAGGCTCGGGAAGGCTGCTGAGCTCGCCCTTCTGTTTTCTGGAGGCGAGTTCTGCCTTTTCTCAAGGAGGCCAGAACTTCGTCCATAGATCCTGAAATTGTGCAAACAGAGCAAGTACCATCAAGCGCCAGGCTCCAGAAGAACATTAGTAAGGCCAGGATTTTAACGAACTGTCATCATCCCATCCAATAGCTGCTTTGATGACCTGCTAGACAGAGCAAGGAGACGAGCTCCCTGTTTGACCAGGACAGTTCCACAGTGAATACTTTATACTAATTTTCAGTTAACTTCTTCAAATCCATAACATCTTATGGGAAAAGTCATGTGCAATGTTTTTTGGAATGATGGCTTTTCAAGATGGCCTAAAGAAAGTTATGGATGGCTAGGGTAGAAGCAATTTACCCACTGGGTCTGACGGAGATCCCTCTAAAATTGTATCTGTTCCATTTCCCTTCCCATTTTAAAAATATCTTTAATTTTTTAGCCTGCTATGTTTCTCTAACTTTAATCTTAGGTATTAGGCAGTGATGACTCATTCTGTGACAAGAAAGCGAGTACGTTTCCACACAAAAAAAGGCTTAAGTGAAATTCTAATCAGTAGCTCAATGAACAGGAGGGGGTGGCTTTGGCACATTTTTCTGTACATAGTGTGTTTAATTCCACCTACATTACCTTGAGGTAGTTACACACTGTTTCTGAGGATGTGAAATGCTGTCGAAACAAATTAGCTTAGAGCGCAGGGCGAGGAGGAGAACCTTGAGGCCCTGAGGGGGAGAGATCTGTGTGGCCACTGATTTAGATGTCATCAGGTAAGCCTTGGAGATTTCCAGCTGGGACTGAAAGGCCATGCTATGGCTAACAAGGGCTGCTTCACTTTGGATTTAAACCTGTAGCTGATTATCATTTTCTTCTGGGAGTAATACAAAGACAAGTTTTGCAATCAAGAGCATTTGATGTACTAATTCACACTCTTGCATTTGTTCAGCATGAGAGCGGTGTGAGCTAAATAGAGCTCCCCAAAACCCAGCCTGGGAACGCACACTTCACAAAGATCTGTCCATGTCCAGCCTGGGCCCAAGCCCACGGCCCTTCCACTCAGAGTGCTGGCGCCAGCCTCACAGGAACAGGCCATTTGGCCGCCCCCCAGCAGGGCGGACATTTCCATGCTACCCGGTTCTGGATCGGGTGACACTCTGAAGGCCAGCTGCAGAATGCTCAGTTGACCAGAACCCGGGTTTGGAACTGCTACGTGAAAATCATTCACATCATTTGTCCCCAGCACCTTGAAGACTCCAAGTGACCTGCTCAGCCACATCTCAGGGAACAAGTATACACAGAATTTTGCTAGGATTTTTCTAAAACACACATCCCAAAGCAGGAGGTTCCAAGTCTGGGCGGGTTTAGGGAGTCTCAACAGTCAATATAAAATCATAATTAAAATTATGCCTGAAAACTATAGCCCTTATTAAATATTCAGATATGTCAGGGCTCTATATTTGCCATACCAAAAGCCCCTTTTTCCTCTACATCAGTCTGCAAGAATGGCCTTTTACATGGTCGGTGATATTTCTCCACAATAATTTCTTTTTTTTTAGATCAGACTCGAAGTGATTCTCCTGTTTTCAGCCTCCCAAGTGCTGGGATTACAGGCATGTGCCACCACGCCCAGTCTCAATCTCAGTGCCCTTCGGGGTCAGGGCCAGCGTGGCAAGCCAGGGACTGAACCGTGGCCCTCCATCTGCTTAAGCAGGCAGGCACTTTAATCCACTGAGCTATCAGGCCAGCCCTTTCCACAGTGATTTCCAAGCAGTATTCTTAAAATGCAACAATTTAATTTTCTAAAGGACTTGAGACAGCAAACTGGAAAGCTGTATGAAAGATACTCCAGTGGCAAAAATCAGACTCAAGTCTTAAATGATCAATATTTGTTTTCTTAACAGCCGCAGAAAATCCTAAGCCACAATATTAAGTGAAATGAATCAGACACACAAGCTTCAATAGCATATGTGGGAAACCCAGTGCATAAGTAAGATAAAAAACATAATAGGAAACAGGGAGATGGATCTTTTGCAAAAGTAGAAGTGAAGGGGACCAAGAGATGGATGAAAAGGAGAAGGAAAGAGAAAGGAATTAAGTTATGTGATGCACATCTACCAACTCCTAATGAAGAATGTAATCTCTGCTGCAAACGTGGCCCTATAAATAAAATATTAACTAGGAAAAAAGACAGGAAATCCCAAGCCATAAGATCAGCAAATGCACAGACTTGTTTTTGGAGGCTGAATTTGCATTTATCAAACTAGATGTAGGCTGTACTATGTAAGAAAAAGTACTATTCAAGACAACGAATCCTGGGATATTTAAGGATGACCAGAGAATTCTGACAATACGCTGAGTGGATTACCTGGGCCTGGAGCAGTTTCCAAGGAGCCACTCAAGCTTTCAGCAGATGACTCGTACACCAGAGAATGTGGCTGGTCATCATCCACCAGAGTCCTGGGTCCTGGGTTCCGAGGAGTGGCAGTTTGGGAACGGGAGGACAGAGCAGGGGCAGATGGTGGTGGCGGTGGCGGTGGCGGTGGTGGTGGTGGTGGCGGAGGAGGAGGAGGCTGTGGCGGTGGTGACAGTGCCTTACTGGATCCGGTGAGTGTCTGGTGACCAGCCGGGACAGGCACCTGGACAGCGATGTTTCCAGGCCAGTCTTGACACTCGGGGGTTTTCCTGTCACTCACTTCATGTAAGGGGGAAGCGCGCCTGGTCTTCCAGGAGGGCGGGAGAGCTGCTGCCCCTGGCTGAGCAGCCGGCGAGGGCAGCTGCTGGGCAAGGTCTCCTGGTGGGCTTGGGGCTGCAGGCTCCGAGGGAAAGGTCTGCAGTACGGACCGAGCTGGACATTTCTAAAGATAGAAAACGGTTGTGGGAAATCTGCCACACATTCTGACAATCAAAACGCTGACAGGGACATAATCATACAGCATTGTAATTCACACCATGTGCCTGCCATCTATGCAACCATTGTGGTTGCGGTAAAAAAAAATAAGTATGTGTTAGAAAAAATAAGCACTTATGTTCTTCTCAGTAAAAAAAAATGGAGACTGAAAAGATACACAGACATGAAAATACTCATCATATTAGCATTAAAAAGCACTAGCTCTAAATGCCAATGTAAGTTAATTTAAAAATTATGACATTCAAAATATTAAGCATCCATGGAAAAAAATCATAAAACTACAAAATTGATAAAACATCTAAAAAGAATCAGCTGACAGTGTTAAGTGAAAACGGTAGCATACAGCTGGATGCAGAGGCACTGGCCTGAAATCCCCACTCAGGAGGCTGAGGGAGGAGGATGGAGAGTTTGAGGCCAGCGTGGCCTGTCTCTAAAAAAAGATAAAAAATAATATGTATTATGACTAGGGAGTGGATATCAGAGGTACTGTCTTTTCTCTAAATTTTAAGCTTAAAGTAAATTCAATTTCAAAATCACAAATTTGAAAAGTTCTGGTCTCAGATACTAGTTTGATTTAAAAAAAAAAATCTAGCAGCAGCTGGGATTCGATCCCTGGCTTGCCAAACTGGGCCCGCCCCCAGGGTGCACTGAGATGATGCATCCTACGAGAAAACTTAGAAGCATTAGGAACAGATAACTCCCAGCAAAAAATGTTTCAAAAGTACTATTATTTTTGGAATCCCAGTAAAGCATATAACATCCCAGTCTCAGTGTTTCAAAAGGCATGCTGTGAAACATCTGCTGTTTTGGACCCCATGCTGGGGTCCTTGCCCCGCCCTCAGTCCCTCTCCTTACCAGGGGGTGCTCACTGTGCCCACAACTATGCCCACTCTTATCTTCCTGCCTCAGCCTCCTGAGTGGGCAGGCCACTGTCTCCACATCCAGCTGTATGCTACCATTTTCACTTAACATTGTCAGCCACACTGGGCATGGTGGCACACGCCTGTAATCCCAGCGCTTTGGGAGGCTGAAAACAGAATCATTATGAGTTCGAACTCCCCCATAGACCTGGTAGACCCTGTCCTAAATACATTAAAAAAAAAAAATTATCCCTACAGGAGATGCATGAGAGAGGAGGAGGCCCTCAAGAAAGCACAAATTAGCCAATAAAGTGTAATGCCATGAGCCATTAAAATGAACTAGAACTATATACTTCAATACAAATATATCTCAAAAACAGAACTCAAAGGACCCCAGAAGTGCACACAGTGTACTACTAATGTGAGCTTAACACACAGACATCATGCGGCTCAGGGTAGATCAGGGACATCTGTCCCTCCCGCAGGCTTCCTTCTTCAGGACAAATGGGAAGACAGAAGAGACAAGCCCCAGATCTCAGGGGCTGTCACCACTCAGAGGACTCATAGTAACCAGGCTCTTGTGCTGCTCTATACCAAGAGAACAGCTTCTCTGAACCAAGAAAACAGCAGTTTATCCCAATTTTAGGTTAACTTCTTAGACTTTAATTCACTGTTGACTCTTTTTTTTTTTTTTTTTTTTTGCAGAACCTGGGATTGAACTCAGGCCCCTGCGCTTGCCAGGGAAGTGCTTATTCCACTGAGCCATCTCCCCAGCCCCACTGTTTACTTTCAATAGAGCATTTTTTCTACCCGCAGAGCACAGTGCTTCCTTGATGACATTTTAAAGAAATGTTTAGAAACCTTGCAAGTGAGGAAAAAAACCCACCAAAGTCATGGGCAGTTAAATTCCTTTCAATTCTCACTGCCGGACTAAACCTGAGTGGGCACAGTGAACACCCCTGGTAAGGAGAGGGACTGAGGGGAGGGCAGGGACCCCAGCATGGGGCCCAAAACAGCAGGTATTTCACAGCATGCCTTTTGAAACACTGATACTGGGATGTTACATGCTTTACTGGGATTCGACAAATAATAGTACTTTTTTTTTTTTTTTTTTTTTTGGTGGAACCAGGCATTGAACTCAGGCCCTTGCGCTTGCCAGAGAAGTGCGAGTACTTTTGAAACATTTTATACTGGGAGCTATGTGCTCCTAATGCTTCTGAGTTTTCTCCTAGGATGCACCATCCTCATTTTCCCACAGAAAGAAGTTGAGGTGATATTTCTAGAACTTACCTCTTTATACGCTCTTACTCGCCGGAGGGTTTTCTGGCGTTCATGGTTTACCCATTCTTTTTTCTTCTGTTCCTCTTCTTTCATTTTCTCTCTTTTCTGTATTTAAACAAGCATATGCTATAAAGTGTGTTCAATTTCAGTCATGTATGTCTTGACACACAAAAAAATGTCTTGACAGAGAATGGGGCTGCACCCTTGTGTCCCACCTGAACGTCACAAGTTGGAAATGTATGACACGTCCCCCCAGCTACTCACCATTTGAATGCTGTGATGCTTGTTCAGATATTGGACATTTTTTTCAGCCTGTTGCAATCGGAGTTGATGATTTTCTTTGCATTGATCCTGGTGGAATAGCATAAATCACCTACATGGCTTTTAATATTACCATGGGCTATAGTAAAAAAAAGTTAACAGAAAAAAAAAAAAAACTTTATGGGTGCTGCAGTTTAAGGCATTCGTTAACCTCAGATTCCACTGTGACTTTTTGGTGCTGTCGCATCTGCAGCCCTGTGAAAGAGCCCACCAGCTGCTCACCAGAGGATGCTGGGGGGGGGAGGGGATGAGAACGTGACTCTCCAGCCACGAGAGGACAGGCGGGCAGCCTCCAGTCCTGAACGGGCCATGTCCCAACAGTCCGTTGTAATGCAGTGCTTTTCATCATCTGCCCCACAATGTCATAAACACGAACTATATTTCCAAACACAGCTATAGAAGCTCAGCTGACCTACAAGCACCTGAAAAATTATACGAAAAGCTGTATCACCTGTGCTTCACCATTCACCATAACGCCCAGGGGGTGTGGAAAATAGTAGCTTTTGCTGAATTTGTTTTAGGTCCCCGCCTCCTTGCCACACACTTCCCCTGTCTTAGGCCGTTTTAGTTTCATCTTGTACGTAAGACTGGTATCATTACTATGATTACTCTCTGAACAGATGAGCAAACTGAGCTCAAAAGAAACTGAAGTAATTTGCCTAAGGTCACATGGCTACCAAGAGCCCACACTGTGACTTCTGGCCAAGTGGACTCCAGGACCTGACCTCAATTCCCAGCCTGTTCCAGCCTCCCTAGACCCCAGTGGCAAGAGAGAGCTTCCTGAAAGGTTAGTGTTTCACATCTGGCTAAGAGGAGGCACAGCCCTCTTCCATGGGCTGCAGGAGGAGCATCCCATAGCTGCATGGTTGCCATGGAGACAGCCTCTGCCCAGCAGAGTGGCTGAACTCAGAGCAAAGGGCACACACCCTAGAATCTCCGATCACCTGAACCACAGCTTCAGCTTCAACATCTAAAAGATCCAGTAAAAAGCAAAGAACTTCAACAGACATTCTGGCAAAGAATTTTTAAGGTATTTGCATGGGAACTTAATATTTGTGAAAGCCAGAAAATATGTCACAGTTTTCATGATTTTTAAATTCTAGGGGCCAGGGAGATGGCTCAGTAGAATATGCACTTGTCTGGAAAGCACAAGGGCCTGAGTTCAATCCCCAATTCCACCAAAAAATAAATAAATTCTAGTAGTGAAAGACTAATAAATATCAGTAACCACATGAAATGTAGCTTTTTTTCTGTAGGGAAAAATTACATTTGTAGTGTTACCCTTTTTATATAAACCATAAAACTTTATCTAAAATTAAGAAATGGCCTCTTTTGCTTTGGTTCAGTTTGGTTTGTTTTTTTGAGACAGTCTTTTTCTTTTTTTGGCAGAACCAGGGATTGAACTCAGGCCCTTGTGCTTGCCAGGGAAGGGCTTATTCCACTGAGCCATCTCCCCAGCCCCAAGACAGTCTTTTTTTTTTTTTTTAATTTGGTACAGGTCTCACTACGCAACTCTGATTTGTAGTGATCTTCCTGTTTTCAGCCTTCCCAGGGCTGGGATTACAGGCGTGTGTCACCTTACCTGGTCTTGGTGGCTTGGCCCAGCATGGCGCCCAAGGGCAGGACCAGTGCAGCATGTGGTGCTGGGGATCGAACCCCAGGCCCTGCGCCTGCCTAAGCAGGTGCTTAGTCAGCTCAGCTATTTCGCGGGCCCTAGGGTCTCACACTGTAGTTCAGGCTGGTCTTGAAAAGGAGTTCAGGTGGCACTCTTTTTGCCTCAGCCTCCCAAGTGCTGGGATTATAGATGTGTGCCACCATACCCAGTATTCATTCTCTCTCATATTCTCTCTCTCCCCCCACATGCTATTTCTTTGTGTGCATGCTTTTTAATTCCTAAGAAAGACATTTATGCTTCTTACCAAAAAGAAAAAAAAAAAATCACCAAATAAATGGTCTGAAATGAGCTGAGTATTACATATATCTGTGATTGATTTTATAATCCGTAATTTATAATGAAAAATATTTTAGAATTTGCTACAGCTGATTATTAAAGTTTCTACTGCTGATGATTTTCAAGACATTTGTGTATACATTGAACATTCAATAAATAATTGTTGAGTAAATTGGTTAAAATCTAGGGCCAGGCATGGTGGCGCAGGCCTATAATCCCAGCAATTGGGAGGCTGAGGTAGGAGGATCTTTGCAAGTTTGAGACCAGCCTGGGCTACACAGTAAGCTAAAGGCCAGCCCAAAATGCATAGTGAGACCCTGTCTCAAAAAATAAATAAAAGTCTGGGGAGATAGCTCGGTGGTATAAGCACCTGCTTGGAAAGCGCAAGGACCCAAGTCCGATCCTCAGTACTGCATGCTGTGCCAACCCCAGAACTCTGGTGTGCTGTGTGAGTCCCAAAACAGCATTGTGGGGCACGCCTGTAATCCCAGCACTGGGAAGGCTGAGACAGGAGGTTCACCATGAGTCTAAACTGTGTAGTGAGATTAAAAAAAAAAAAGACTAAAAAATAAATAAAACCTAAACTTTATGGTAAATGCACAGATCTCAAAGAAACAAAAGACCTTTTTAAGAATACTTATATATTTCACTGTTGCTGATACCTATGTAAACACACACACACACAAAAATCATTGTATGATTTAAAAACCTTTGCAACACCTTTTTGTCTTTCGTAAGAGCAACAACATCAGCCAGGCATGGTGGTGCACACTTACTAATCCCAGCACTCTGGGAGGCTGAGGCAGGGGGATTGCAGATTTGAGCCCAACTTGCGTAGTTCAGCAACTTGGCCAGATACTGCCTCAAAGTTAAAATAAACAAGAGCTGGGGATGTAGCTTACTGCAAAAGCCCTGAGTTCGATCCCTAGTACTACAAAAAGGAGAAAAGAGAAGAAAAGAGAAAAGGATAAATAAATCCTTGGAAGAAGGACGAAAACAAGCTGCCAGCCAGCTGCACCTACCTTCCGGTTCCTGAGCTTCGCCCTCCGGGTGCAGATTCCGCCCCTCTGCCTCTCCAGCTGCCGGAGTCGCAGCCTGAGCCCTTGAAGCTCCTCCGCACTCTCGCTGGCCTGCGGGGCTGCAGCGCTGCCTAGCACCTGAAGTTCTTCCGGATTTTCACACGTATCGTAATAGACAACTTCATCCTCTTTCTCTAAAAACATAATAATGATACTCTTAAAACATATGTCATGTAAAAATAATACAAAAATATTTTAGTGTAAGAAAAGTAAAAATCAATTGAATGGCTACACATACCACTTACAAGGGAATGTTCTCCATGTGATGAAAATATAATTCTAACGGCAAAACGGTATTTTCTCATATTCTAAGATTAGGATGTTCCAGGGTTCCGTTATTAACCACTTCACCGTAATGACCATCTCTACAGGAAGCCTGGCGTGTGTTTTTATTACTTGCTCAGCAAGTGAATATCCCAGGCTCCTGATGCCTCGGTCACAGTGCCCACTACAAAGGACACTTCTACCAACAGCTTACCATGAGGGTTCCTCACTAACGTTTCACCTTAACTACACATTGATCTTTTTCAGTACATGTTTATTCTAACAATCAAACTCCACAGAAGTGCATAAAGTAAAAAATAAATTCTGCTCATCCCCAAATCTACTCAGACCCATTCTCAGAAACAAACAAAAACCCCATAAAGTTTGGCATATATCGAGGTTTTTAAATACTCCTCCTTCTTACAAATGTAAAGCACTTACAACTTGAAATTGCTGTAAAAGTGTTTGAGTAGCTAGGACTAAACTATATGTTCAAGATTTAGATGAAAAAAAAAAAGCCTAAACTTAAAGGAATTTTAGGGTAAAGAAAGGATTTAAATAAATGGAGAAACATAATTGTGGCTGGGAAGAATCAAAATTGCAGTGATAACAATTTTCCCCAAAATAATCTCCAATTTTAAGCATAATCCCAACCTCTATCCCAGTGAGCTTTTTGTTTGTTTTGAACTTGCTAAAGTGACTCTTAAGTTCATCAGGAATAATAAAAGAGAGTAGTCACAAACTGGGGAAGTCACAAGGCGTCATGCCTCACTAGATACTAAAATGCACTTCCGAGGTACAGGAATCGGACAGATGACCCCTGCCCCCAAAGACAGTCACAGGTCAGTGGACGAGAATAATAACTCAGAAGTCTGATAATTCTGGAAATACCATGCAGCCATTCAAAGCAGTAGGGGAAAATGTTTCACTTGAATGATGTCGTCAATATGCCAAGTACATATTCCAAAGAAAAACAGGCAAAGACCATGACTGGGCACGTCATAAAATACATATGGCCAATAGACATACCGAATTGTCTTCTACCTGACTTGTAATTAAATAAGTGAAAATTAGAAAAGGCCATATTTTTCTACTAAGTAGCCAAAAATTTCAAAGAGCAGCATTGAGTCTGAGGAACATGACCTCCTCTTCTGCTGATGGGAATAGGATCTGTACAGCTTCTTAGAGGCAGCCACATAGCGTGGCATTTAGAAATGAGAAAATAATAGGTGATGAGGAATGATGTATCTTAAATGATTATTGTAGTGTTGCTGTAGCAGATAGGTATAAAATATAAAGTGTACATTGCCCTTGTTGCCCTTGATCCAAGAATTCCATCTTTTTTTTTTTTTTTCAGAACTGGGGATTGAACTCAGGCCCTTGCGCTTGCCAGGCAAGTGCTTATTCTACTGAGCCATCTCCCCGGCCCCAAGAATTCCATCTTTAGAAATCTGTTTCAGGGAAACAACTTGTCTTGTGCACAAAGATGTGTAGAGAAAAAAATCTCTCCTGTACAGCTATTCAAGACTGTGAAAAACTGGAAATCACTACACAGAGAGAAAAAGAAGAGAAGAGAAAGGGAGAGAGGGGAAGAAAGGGGAAGAGAGGTAGGGAGAGAGAGGAAGAGACCCAAAAAACGCACATACGCTTCAGCAGCTTGTGGTACTAATAAGTGTCCTGAAGCTAATGGCCACCACTTTGAGTACTTGTAACTATAGAAGCTAAAGGTAACCTGTATTAATCTCATGATGTCTCAATAAATTTAGTATTAGAATATTTACACAAGTTTTTCTTTTCCTAATGTATATATTTTTGGTGGACTCTGCACACAAACACATGTATAAATATGTATGTACATACATATATACACATAATGGAATACTTTAGTCATTAAAATGTTCCTGAGATGGAAAGCAGTTATTATACATTCAGTGAATAAAGGGCACTGACCACAATACATAGTTTTTGGTTTCAAAACTTGATCAATACTCATTCATGGACCGGCCAAATAGCTCAGTGGATTAAAGCGCCTACAAGCAGGCACAGGGGCCAGGAGTTTGATCCCCAGGCCTGCTGTGCCAGGCCCAGCCCCTGGGGCGCGCTGAGACAGCCATTGAGACTGGGCATGGGGGCGTGCGCCTGTAATCCCAGCTCTTGGGAGGCTGTAAACAGGCGGAACGCTTTGAGTCTGATCTAGTAGTGAGACCCCGAACACCCTGTAGACCCTTCACTAAAATACAAAATAAAAAAAACTCATTCACACCTGGCACATGAGAAAGGCTACAAAATTATGCAACATGCTCTTACTAAGTATCCCTAGATGATGGGCTTGGGTGTTTTTTTTTTTTCCTTTGTTCTGCTTTGTGTTTAACAATGAATATATAATCAGAAACACTGAGAGGAAACCTATAAGAAATCTCAGCAGATGTCAGTTTACAAGAAGTTAGTGCTAATGTAAAAATCTCAAAATGTGTAATTTAAACATTTTATTCTTACTCATAAATTTTACCTTTTATATGCCTTTTCACAGAGTCCAACTGTGTAACAAGAAGTGTCTCTTCATTTTTTAGTATCTCAAACTTAACTTCATATAGTTTCAATTGAATTTCATAATACTGTATTTCTAATTCATCTACAACATGCATGGTCTTTTTCCTTTGCTCCGGAAGATCTTCCATCTTGTTTGCATGAAAAGAGAAGAACAAGTCAAGTATGAATAGTGTATGAATAACAAACTTTAGAATCATTCCAGCTCTTTTCTATTCCTTGCTCATACTAAATACAATAAAGTAAATAGGGAAGAACTCTTCCATTTTGTGTGGTGAGATACAACCACCTTATTTGGCATTCGTTATAGTACTTTATGTCATCTTTGAAACAGGAAAACATTGAAGGTCTGAGAAAAGCTAGGGCACCAGGCACTATCATGACTGGCCATGTGCCCCACCATGTCCTGTGGTAAAGCTCAGGCCCAGAGTGACAGCACTGGGGAGGGAACTGAGTTTAGGTGGCCTGTGTGTGGGATGAGTGCTCTTACTGGTGTTCTCTCCTCTCTCCATGGACACACACTGAGGAAGGACTGTGAGCACAGGGCAAGATGGTGGCTGTCTGCAAGCCAGGAAGAGGCCCTGCGGCACCTGGACTCCAAGCCTCCAGAACGGGGAGAAATAAGAGTCTGTGTCAGAGCCACTCAGGCTATGGCACTGCCTTACAGCAGCCCAGGCTGAGGAAGAAGGCAATTGACAGTGTTGTGCCCTAAAGTCCTGAGGTTACAGGAAGAAGCTTCTGTGACTGGGATCCTAGGAGGAAGCCCATTCTGAGTGTTCTGCACATGGACTGGGCCTGGGACATAGCTCAGTCATGAAGACTTGCTTATTATCCCCTCCCTACTGGCTCAGTGTTAGGAGGAAGTGAACCCTCCAAGAGAGTAGTCCAAGCATGGCTTGCCCAAGAGGAAACGTGATGGCAAACCTTCCACAGTCCCTAAAATCTCTACTACAAAATGGCATTGTCTTGAGTGAAGAAGTTCATTCACAGTGCCTGGCAAGAAAGGTGCAATCAGAGATAAAAGTATATTTGTAAAATAAAGTGACGTTTCACTTTTGTCATACCTGTCTCTGAATCTTAGCTCTTTTGTGGTTTAAACACAGCTCTTTGGCTCGCATGAGTTGCAGGGTCTCTCGAGCAAGCATGAGCTTGAGTTTCTCTAACCTGGGGATGGCGGTGGCCCAGGCAGCCTGGCCAAATCGCTTGCTATCCTCTGCCATGTGTTTCTGCATTTCTGTTGGGTTATACGTAATAAAATAAAATTACAATTGATTTAAAAAGGGAAGAATTTATCTTCAGCTACTCCTTTATTACCTCCACGATGACCTGTAAAACATCATTTTAAGAGAGACTGTTTCATTGTGACATCTGTTGTTATCACAAAAGTAATGTATGGTCATTGATATAAAAGTTAGGGATTCCATTCCAAAAGGACAGTCACAACGCGTGATCTGCCCCGCCGAGGCACCTGCTGCTTGCGTTTTGCTACATACATGGCCACACTGCTTCTGTGTCCTGCTAGACGGATGGGGCTTGACAAACAAAACAGCAGTAGGACCATCACTCTGCTTTGCACCTTGCTTCTTTCACTTTATATATTACAAATTCTTATTTACTTAAAGCGTTACATAGGCCCATGCTTGCTGGCTGTGTAGTAGCACAGCTTAGCAAACTGACAAGCATGCAGAAGCTCCTCTTTGGGGTTGTTATGGATAGAAGGTCCCTGCCTGGCTCCCCAGCCTTCCCCCAAGCCTGTTCTCCCACAGTGGGTCTTCCAGGAGTCGTTAAGCCAGAGGAACTTCCCAGGGCTTGTCCTTCTCCTGAAAGGCTGTCCCTACTCAGCCTCCATGTTCCCCTCAGATGCTGGAGTCAGCACTGTCTGTCTTGGTGGCCACCCTGGTCAAGCCCAGCTTCTCGGTCACAGGCTCTCAGAGCCCCAGTCTCTCTTCTTCACCTTGCTTACTGCCTCATTCTCCCTGTGCTGAACGACCAGGAAATGAGGACTCCTCTCACCTCCCCAGACTGTGGGCATTTGCGGATGTGACCTTCAGAATGAGTTCCCAGCACCTATAAGACAGCACATGGTACCCTGACGCTTATGGAATTAGAATTGCAGGTGTCTTAGTAGAGCATTACCACCTACCTGTTAGTACCTCAACTGTATCCTTAAAATATTTCACAGTGATATCTTGAATAGAGGCAATAGCTTCTTCAGCCTGGATCGACAATTTTTGGGCTTCCTTCTGCAGAGCGGTAACCCTCTGAGGACCCAGCTCATCCTCATCCAGGGACTTCTGCAGAAAGAGGGGACAGCAGTAATGTAGACCCATTAGAAAACTGAAGAACATTGGTCACTGGATTGTTTAAACTACTTGTATTACTACTACTTAATAAATCAAGTTTCCATCCTCTGAGCTGGATCTCCTGCAAGACACAGGGCTTCTCTGGGCATGAAGGAAACCTCACCTTCTTTCACCTTGTGTTACTAGAACAGCTTTCCCTACAGAGGAAAGATGCTATGTTCCTAATACTATCACAGCTGTTCACATGAGGTCAGCACTGCTAAGCACTCAGCCTGGGGTCTGGTCCACGGCATTCTAGCCATGGCCGTGATTTCGTTAAAGGTCATGACAAGTAGCTCTTGAATAGCCACGTTTCTTCTTGAAAGGAAAATGTAACATAATCTAAATGACTATAAGATTATGTCATTTAGGAGTTCAACATTATGTTCAAGATTATGACACATACTCCTATGAACTGCATGTTGGAGTCCCCCCCAAGTCATATGTTGAAGCCAGACTCCCCAGTTTGATGGCAATAGGTGAGGCATTTGGGGGTACGTAAGTCAAGAGGACGAAGTTCTCAAGAGTGGAACTGATGCCTTTACATACAGAAGGTGAGGCATAAGAGCTGTCTACCTTGGCCCTTTGCCATGTGAGGACATGGCCGATGGCCTCCGACCAATGAGGAAACACCACCTCATCAGATGCTACATCTGCTAGCACCTTAATCTCAGACTTTCCAGAACTATGAAAAAGTTTCTGTTTATTAGCCCCCCCACCCCACCCCACACATCCATACAAGGAAAGGACTCCAAACAGCAGACTTTCAAAACAATGAAGAGAACAGCTTGACCCAGGCTAGAGTGGCCTGACTGCCTCTAAATGTGTGCCCATCTCTACTGTACGGTAACCTGGCAGGGCCACGAGCCTGTGTGGAAGGTGGCCCAGGCAGGGGCACAGAGCAAGAAGCTTCCTGTCTTTGGTGCCAGCCAGGGGCTCTCGAGGTGAGGTATGTGACCCTTCTGCAACACTGAGATGATGAGGATGATGCTTTTGCTAAACAGGGTCACATGCAATGAAATCAGAATTTTGACTGCATTTGCTGAAGTTTAAATACTGCTTCACAGCCTCCAGCCCTGCTACTCTCCTGAAATATTCAGCCTGTTTTGAAGAAATCCACATGTGTCCCTAGAGGTGGAAAGTAAACTAAAGTAAATAAATATATCCAAAACATACACCAGCACAAAGGTATTTAATCCTTTATGCGGGATTCTTAGGGTGCTGAGAGGATGAATGAGGCAAACACCATCTTTATCTTTTTTTTTTTTTTTGGTGGGGTGCTAAAGATCAAGGGCCTTGTACATAGTAAGTACATATTCTTCTGTACCCCCGACCCCAATTCTTTTTTATTTTTTCACTTATGTATTTGGTGCAGGGTCTCACTACACAGCTTGGACTTGTAGCAATCCTATTTTCAGCCTCCCCAGTGCTGGGATTACAGGTGTGCGCCATCACACTTGGACTCCACTGCTATCTCAGCATGCCCCAGGGATGGGCTGGAGCAGCACTAGGGACGGGGATCAAACCCTGGTCCCTGCGCTTGCCAAGGCAGGCCCAACCCCAATTCTTAAAATCAATTTTAAATATAAGCTTGATGTATCTATGATATCATCTAAGCAAAAAGATGAACCCAAAGTAAAAATACAGATGAACCTGAAATGTAACTAAAGACAATAGAATATGACGGACATTAAATCTGATAAAAAATATAAGGAGACATACCAAAATATTAAGCTTACTTGAAGTTGCAAGTTCTCGCTGAAACCTAAACGGCTGCAGTAAATACTGGGAAAGCATGGTTGCCGCCACAACCAATTCGTGATATGCTTTATCTTCCTTTTGATAAAGTTCCATTAATGCTACCATAGTGTTGGTTTTCTCATGCTCTTGAAGGACCTAGAAGGCAAAATATAAAGATCAATGCTGGGTGTTATTTATAAAATCATTCCAAACAAAACTAAATAAAAGAAACTTAAAGTTCTCAACTTTAATAGATCTATTTTACATATAAAATATGAAAATGTTGGTGCAGGGGTCAGGGGCTCAATCCCCAGGCCTGCCACGCCGGGCCCGCCCCCAGGGCGCCACTGTAACCCCAGCTCTTGGGAGGCTGTAAACAGAAGAATCACTATGATTCCAATCTAGTAGTGAGACCCTGAACACCCTGTAGACCCTTCCCTAAAATACAAAAAAAGAAAATGTCACACAACTACAATGTCAAAACCAAACTATATATGCATGGCAAAATATGTGCCACCAGTGAGCACTGTACTTTTGAAGACTGCTTAAAATGATGAGGACTTTCCTCATATTACACAAGGAAAATGGAGAGCACAAAATTTTACCTGAACTGTGTACTAAGCTCAAGAGGACCCAAAAGAGACAAATGTGAACAGCGGTTATCGTCACGATCCATACACTTCTGTGCCACTTTTCTGACTGTCAAGAAAAAGTAATTCTTTCTAAAAACTCACATAGACACTCTAGAGATGTCATTGAGGCCCTCCTCAGCAAGTTGACACCCTTTCTTTCCCAGGTTCACATCCCACCTGGCCACCAGCAGAGCAGACCCATTCGTGGAGTCTGCCCTGCCGCTCTGGTGTCTGCTAAGCACAGCTTCTGACACGGGGCAGACAATACACTGATCAGCTGATAATCCAGGTGAACCTGTCTGCTAAGAAATGACCTTCCCCACTGAAGAGAGACAGGAGGGAAAAAATGGCAGAGTGTTGACTGGTAGCTCTGGTGTCTCCTAGGTCTGGAATACAGACATTCAAAAATAAGTTGGTGCAAAAAAGCAGATCACAGGAATCCAGAATGAACTGAAAGGAAAATTTAGAATTTTCCTTTCAGTTGGAAAGAAGGTCCAAAATGCATGGGGAAAAAGGAAACAACTGAGGTTCTCCCCAGCTCCTGTGGCTCATAGAGAGAAGGGCACCCCAGAAGCAAGCCTGGTGAGAGCCACAGGAGACAGCTGTGGGCAGGGAGCATGCCAGAGAGAGTTCCCCAGGGAAGGAAACCCAGGCCAGGAAAGGCACAGTCTCAGCCCCGGAAGTGAGGAGCCCGGCCCAGCTGAGCAGTGCTGCGCAAAAGGGCCTGCGGGCTGGGATGCTTGAACACTGGCACCGGGCACAAATCCGGGGACTGACATCTTCCCTGCGCAGCAGAATGGGCAGCACGGATGGCACCATGACCTGGGGTACACACAGGGGCCTCTGCAATAAGGGGCACCTCACACAGCCACAGGCCGCGAGGCTGGGTGGAGAAGACTGAGACTTGCTGGGCTCCAACACTGCAGATGCTGCAAGGAAACTGCTTATTTAAAAATAGATTAAAGGGCTGGCCAGATAGCTCAGTGGACTAAAGCTCCTGCTTAGGCAGACAGCGTCTGGGGTTGGATCCCCGAAATGCAGTGCTGGCCCCACCCTGGGGGTGTGCTGAGATGGCAATTGAGACTGGGCGTGGTGGCGTGTGCCTGTAATCCCAGCTCTTGGGAAGCTGAAAACAGGAGGATCACTACAAGTCTGATCTGCGTAGTGAGACCCTGTAGACCCCATAGACCCTGTACTAAATACATTAAAAAAATATTTAAAATAGATTAAAATTTTGTTTTCTTTTTGGACTCATTTTCTTTTTTCCTCCTTTTTTTTCTTTTTAACTTTTAAATTTTTATTCTCATTATTTTCTCTTTACTTTTACTTCTTGTTTTTTTCCCCACTACTTTATCTAACTCTGTAACTACCCTCTCCAGAAAAGAATTCTTTGCCTCACTGTTCTCTCATCTCCCATTGTTCAGTTTTACAAATTTTTCTTTTTATATTCTAGTATTCACAACCCCTACACATTTAATAGTATATATGAACTTTTATTAATCTTTAGTTAGGTAACTACGGGGCTATTGTTGAGTGTTTTTCTATCATTAGTGGAGACAGTTATTGTATTTGGGAGATACTTGCTATACATCAATATTTGTTTTGTCTTAGGGCTTATACTAAAGAGTTTATTTTCTAGGGTTAAAGGTGGTACATTTTGGGTTCTTATGGTATGACAGTAACTAGTTTGCCTTGGATGGCATTACTGTTGCTGGCTTATTTGATATTTCCAGGGTCATATAGCTTAGTATTAGCTTTTCTCTGTATGCCAACACCCTGAGTATCTTTATGACATTGATGAAACTGCAGCCCATCCCAGAAAGATGGTTGCTAAGCCAACGCACTGCATCCTCCTTCCCATATAAACAGAGAGGCAAAAGACTGAGGTTAGCCACACACTGAAAAGCAGACGAAGTAAAGAGCTCTCCATGCTCACAACAAGATCTTTCCACTCTTGTGCATATCTAAGCACAAACCAAAACTAACACAGAACAATAGCAACATGAGAAGACAAGGCAACAAAATGCCTCCAAAAATTCCCAGCTCACCTAAGCTGATCAATGGGGTGCTGAGAAGGAAAGTGAAAGCCTCACAACCAAATGATATGAAAGGATAACAGAGAAAACAAAAAAGGATCAATGCGGGGACAACCCACTCGGGCCCCCCTCCTGTCCCTCTCTCAGACAGGAGCTTTCTTTCCCTCAATAAATATATTCTGCTCATTTAAAAAAGAAAGAAAGAAAGAAAGAAAGAAAGAAAGAAAGAAAGAAAGAAAGAAAAAACAAAAACAAAAACAGATCAATGAAGTCCTCCCTGGGGTAACAGAAAATAGGAGGTTAAGTTATATTGAAAATATGGGCAGCAGAAGTGACCAAGGTGAAAACAGGATATCAGACACAGAACACAGGGGTACTTTTAAGGAACAATTATTCAGACATTTGTTACTTAAAAACAACAAGAGAACATGGAAAATGCATTCAAGTGCTGCTAGATGCCACAAAGGTGACTAAGATTAATTGGAGTAAATGAAAAACCAGCAGACAGCACAAAAGCTGTCTTACAGCTTACAAAACCATCTGTTTACAAAAAGAGTAGCAGAAAGCATCCCAAACATTAAGAGAGAATTAAATACACAGATAAGTGAGACATACAGAACCTCAAAGAGCCACAGTCAAAACAGAATCTCTCCACATCACATCAGTAGTCAAAATAACAGAATCCCAATACAGGGACGAAAACTTAAAAGCTGCTAGAGAAAAGCAACAAATCCCTAACAAAGTAAACTTATTAGAATTACAGTAGACTTCTCAACACAACCTTTAAAGACCAGGAGAGCTTGGAATGAAGTACTTCAAGCCCTGAAAGACAACTTCAACCCAGACTTACACAGCCTGCAAAATCTAACTTAAGAAATTGATGGAGAAATAAGGTATTTCCATGACAAAGAGCACCTTGAGAAATTCATGGCCACCAAACCAGCACCACAAAAAATTCTGAAAGATACCCTAGGAAGGGCCAACGAAGCCAACAATGCCAAAAATCTAACAGAATGAGCACACCAGGCAAGGCAACAGTAAGCAGAAGGGGGATTTAAAAAAAAAAAAAAAAAGAAAGAAATCAGCAACAGGAAAATGATGCAGCGACTGGACTAAGCCAGTAGTTTGCAGCAATAACTCTCCATGTGAACGGTCTCCATTTCCCACACAAAAGAGCCTGTAATGGTGGCATGCGCAATTAGGAGGCTGAGACGCGAGGATCATCACCAGTTGAGGCCAGCCTGGGCTCCACAGTGAGTTCCAGACCAGTCTGAACTATATAGTGAGACCCTGTCTCACAAACAAAAGAACATATTAGCAGAATGAAGCAAAAACAAAACCCAAAGACATGCAATATATAAGAAATTGAATCAAAAAGAAATATGCAGGAGCTGGTGGGATAGCTCAGCACTCTAAAGCGCCTGCCTACTTAGGCAGGCACAGGGGACGGAGGTTCGATCCCCTCAGGGTGGGCTGAGTGGGCCCAAAAAAAAGAAAAAAAGAAATACACGGATTTAAAATCAAAAAATGGAAAAAAAAATATTCCATGCAGTGGAAAAGGCAGGAGTAGCTATTCAGACAAAATGGATTTCAAGCAAAAATTGACCATGAGAGGTAAAGAAGATCACTATATATTGAATAAGAGAACAATTCCAAAGGTCGAGATAATAGTGGTAAACATGCAGTATATGCAACAGACACCAGGATACCCCAGCTTTATAAAACAAACTACTTGATGTTAAAGAACACAATCAGGGGCCGGGGAGATGGCTCAGTAGAATAAGTGCTTCCACAAGGGCCTAATTTCAATCCCCAGTTCTACAAAAAAAAAAAAAAAAAATCAGATAAACACCAGCAAAATCATAATGGGAATCTCAATACCCCACTCTCACAAACATCCACTAGACAAAAAATCAACAACAAAATATACAAGTTGAACCAACCCTTCAATCAGACTTAAAAGGTATCTACAGGGTGTTCCACCCACTGAATACATTCTTCTCACTATCACGTTTGTTTTATAAAGCTGGGGTATCCTGGTGTCTGTTGCATATACTGTATGTTTACCATTATTATCTCGACCTTTGGAATTGTTCTCTTAATCAATATATAGTGATCTTCTTTACCTCTCATGATCAATTTTTGCTTGAAATCCATTTTGTCTGAATAGCTACTCCTGCCTTTTCCACTGCATGGAATATTTTTTCCATTTTTTGATTTTAAATCCGTGTATTTCTTTTTTTCGTGTGACTTTCTCCAAGCAGACCACATGCTAGTTATTGATGGAGAAGCTTCAAGAGACCAGGCGCCCAAACTGCAACTCAAAACCTACATATTGATCACAAAGTGCCAACCCTGTGAGCAAACCTGAACACTGAAGTTGAAATTTAGAAAAAAACAACTGTTATTCAGTGCTCAGCTGCTGCGACAGCTTGAGTGCTGACAGCGAGGGCTCCGTGTGCCCAGTGTGGCACACACCTCTGGTTCACCACCTCTGTGCTAGACCGTAAAGCACGGTTAGGTAAATACAATGAGCAGAGTTATCCCGTGCACGTTATGAGATCACACTGTAGTGAAACTAGAATCAGTGGCAAAAAACGTCATGGAAACTATGCAAACAAGTAGAAATTAAACAACACTCTCTTGACTAATCAGTGAATCACAAGAAATTGCACAGTTTTTAGACCCAAACAATAATGGCAATACAACATACCAGAACCTACAGGACACAATGCCCACATCAGAAAAACAGTAAGGGGGCTGGTGAGATGGCTCAGTGGTCTAAAGCACCTACTTAGAACAAGCTAAGCTAAGCAAAACACAGGGACCGCGGTTCAATCCCCCAGCACCACATGCCAGACAGCCCCGCCCCCTGGTGGGCTGAGCTGGCCACACACACATAAATAAATAAATAAATTTAAAAAATTTAAAAAAAAAAAAAAACAAAAAAGAAAAACAGTAAGTACAAGTACAGCATACGCCTGACTGAACGAGCATTTGGGTTGTGAACTTCCACAGATACAAAGGGACCTGGCATCATAAATGTTCCTAGATGTGAACAAATCACAAAAGTAGCACAAGTGTCCACCGGCCAGCATCATACTTGTGCCACTGTGTGCTTGCTCTACAGTGTGACAGTGTATAGCAGTACAGTGTGCAATCAGTGTCCAAGAGTTTGTCTACTGCAGCGATGGCAAACCTTTAGAGCTTTCAGTGACAAGAGCCTTGTGTGGCACACACGCCATGGGTTTGTCCCACTGCCCTCTCTAATATTACCCCCCCAAAAAAAGACCAAATAAAATGCAAGTAGAAATGGACAAGGTAGGTGTACGGTGATGGTCCCATCTGCGGGGTGTGCTGAGACGGTGACTGAAACTGGACATGGTGACGTGCGCCTGTAATCCCAGTACTTGGGAGGCTGCAAACAGGAGAATCACTACAAGTCCGATCTTCGTAGTGAGACCCTGTACACTCTGTCCTAAATACAGAAAAAAAAGAAAAAAAAGAAAAGAAAGAAATGGCAAAGGTCAAATCATAATAGATTATGCCAAAAATCAAGATCATTTAGTAAGTACAGGGGTACTTCATTTTACAAATCTATTTTATGATTTGGGGGAAGAAGGCTGCATTTGTGTTTGTGAGGGGAGAAGGTGATCGTTGTTGTGTTTGTCACCCAGTGTACAGTTTGTTAACAGAAACAAAATTTTGCCAAATATTTTTATCTGTGAACCAAACTGTTCACAAACAGAAGCATTCATGAATCAAGGCATAATTGTACTTTGAGAA